GTTAGATTGGGCTTTTTTGGACAAGGAATAGTTCATCTGCATTAAGTTGGTTGTATTACAACTTTTCTGTGCTCAATAGTTGCGGAATGCGAATCGAATGAAAATGGTCAATTTTCAGCCCAGTTACAACTGGTTAGATTGATGTCTGGATGTGAAACCGATGATGTCCTTTTTCTTGGAAATAGCAAGATATTTGAAGAAAAAAACTACGTAGCATTTTTACTTTTACTAAGGCCTACTTATATGCAGCAGTAGGGCAAATTCTATTTTTCAAGCCTTGCCTAACTATATTTGATTCTTGTGTACATTTGCTCTTAAGCATGCAGCTTCTTGTTTGAATGACACATAAGGAAAACCACCACGACAGCTATAGCATGAATAAGGTCTCTTAATAAATTATGGGTATTAAATACATGTAATTGCTCCATGCAACACAGAACAAAGAAAATTGTAACTCACCTCCTTCGTGGAATACATTCCCCAGTTTTTGAAGCTCTCTTTCCATGGATGTGGTATTTCTTTCCTAGCAACGACAAAAATGAACAGCCTTTTAAACACCTCCTTGTTTTTGCAAATTGCTCATTTATAAATTAAAGAAAACATGTCAGGTGTAATTTGCTGTCAAGATCATCTCATACAGAAACCTGCTGAAAGACCTGAGTACTGCAGGTATTAAGATGCCATATGTACAGTCAATACAGCTAAAAAACTGATCATCACACAAAGAACCTGCTTGAAATCTCTTGAGAGTGGACCTGTGCTCCTTAACTTGGCTGACTTATTGCCAGAATTCAAATCCCACAGCTGTTGATTCACACTCACCAAGAGTTCTAATTATTGACACACTGCAAATTTGAACATTGTTCTGCTCTTTATTTGGTACAAGATATAAACCATGTGGTTTAAGCTTTGAGCTTCTGGTTAAATGCAATTCATTTGTGATATTTATTACTATTAGGGAAACTTCCAAGGTAGCTTTTATTAATTTTATCAATTAATAACAATTGTTCCAAAGAAAAGTACAACTCACCTCTTTCATGCAATCCATTCTCCAGTTTTTGAACCTACAGTATGTCTCCATGTACCTGGCATTTCTCACCTAGCAACAACAAATATGAACAGCCTTAGCCTCATAATTTTTGCAAGTCATTCATTTTTGTGTGGCTTACACGAAGTGTGTAGCCACACTATGTCATGATCTTATTTGTATATGTAATAGGACTACATGCTTGTCCAATTTGGAAATAATTGGATGAAA